AGTTGCTTCACTTCTCACTCACCATTTCTGCAGCATGAGATGGGAGGTCTCAAACCTCCTTGCAAACACAGCTAACTCTTCTCCCACCTCCTGTATAAGAAGAGAGAAGGGCTCTCCCCTCAGCAGGACTTCGAGACAACAGTCTCTCCAGAGCACACGTAGCATGGGTCCTCTCGGTCCTGGCTCCAGAACCCTCTTTTTCCCTTCCCTTTCAGGGCCAATGATGGCTGCCTGTATGTCTTTGATCGAGAACAGAACCGACGTACCCTTCAGGTATTGCTCCCGAGACTTGAAGCCTCTGCCTCCTGGTCCTTGGCCGATTGGAAGACCTAGAAAGACCTGGCCCCCTTCTCCCCTAGATTGAGTCCCATGAGGATGATGTGAATGCGGTGGCCTTTGCTGACATCAGCTCCCAAATCCTGTTCTCCGGGGGTGACGATGCCATCTGCAAAGTGTGGGATCGACGCACCATGCGGGAGGATGACCCCAAGCCCGTGGGTGCGCTGGCTGGACATCAAGATGGCATCACCTTCATTGACAGCAAGGTGGGCGTAGAGTCAGGACTGCACAGCCAGGCGACTGAGGTTGTGGTTGTCCAGGAGGGTGTCAGAGTGGACGGGTGTGGGAACTCGCCAAGCTCCTCATTAGCCAAGGTTTGCAAGAGCTGGAGTTTAGGGAAGAGGCTTAAGCCACGAGACGTGAGGTCCATCGGTACCCACCATTCCTCAAGGAGCAGGGCTTTCTGTACAAGAAGAGTAGAAGATGATCTGACCCAGTGTAGAACAGGAGCCCAGCCAGCGCCCTAGGCAAAGAAGGGGAAACCTAGCCAGGGTGTGGGGTCTGTGGTAGGAAACCAATGGTGAGGCCCACTTGGATGAAGAAAGAGGCAACCAAAGTTAAAGGACCAGGGTTCATACTCCTGAGCTGGGGAGGGGGAGCTGGACTGACAGACACTGACATCTGCAAGCTCCGATGCTTCATTATCCATCTTGGGATTCACAGGGAGATGCCCGGTATCTCATCTCCAACTCCAAAGACCAGACCATCAAGCTCTGGGATATCCGACGCTTTTCTAGCCGGGAAGGCATGGAAGCCTCTCGCCAGGCTGCCACACAGCAAAACTGGGACTACCGCTGGCAGCAGGTGCCCAAAAAAGGTGAGAGCGGATGTAGAACCCGAGATCTGAAGAGTGAAGGGTCGGGGGTGATAGTTAAAACATTTAACCCCTGGCAAGGCCTGGCATGGGCGCTGTGGATGGGCCAAAGCCTGGAGCCCTCCCCCTTGCCAGGCATTAACTCTTCGTTTGCTGAACCATGGGAGAGCCAGGGGTTCTCAGTGTAGGGGCTGGGGATCCCTCCAAACCTTCGAATGCAAAAGTATTTCAGCGTCTTGACCATCAGCAGAGCCATATTGGTGTGTATCAGCTGACTGTTAGATGGGGAAAGAGCCACCAGTTGGGAATTGCAAAGGCGATTGTCTTTGAGCATCAGTCTTTGCTGAGGACCAGTGATACAGGGGAATCCAGACTCCCTAACCCAGGGCTCACCCTGCATCCCTCCCCAGCCTGGCGGAAGCTGAAGCTCCCAGGGGACAGCTCCTTGATGACCTACCGGGGCCATGGGGTGCTGCATACCCTCATCCGCTGCCGATTCTCCCCCACCCATAGCACCGGCCAGCAATTCATCTACAGTGGCTGCTCCACTGGCAAAGTGGTCGGTAAGGACTGTGTCTGAACAGGGGGCCTCGGGAAGGGCAGCCGTGTTCCCCTGGCATTCTACCTGTAACCACCAGTGACTACCTTAAGAAGCCCAGTGACCATTACAAGTGAAATTTCATTTAGCCTGGAGCAGGGAGGCTTAAACGGAGAAAGAGAAAACATTCTATGCACCAGCATTTTAAATTAAGAAAAGGAACACAGAATTCTAGTCAGTAAATATACTAGATTGCCAGAAATATACTCAGTTCTGTTTCTCAGCCAGTCAAGGAAAGAGATTGCAGATGAAAGGTAGGAGGGAACAGAGAAAAACAGAATGACACAAGAAGATAGCAGCAAGTAGTAAAAGATGTACAGCCACTGAAGTAGGAGGAATGCACGAAAAGAAATACACAGTCACAGGTTCCTAAGACAGTGCCAAACCTAGGGAGCCCCTGACATGTAGGCCTATCCAGGGAGAGAGAAAGGTGCACCCACGTCCAGAAAAGGAACAGCACGTTCACAAGTCTGTGGAGACAGCCCATTGTTCACTTTTGTGGTGTCTTCCATATCTTGTGGGCTTTTAAGAAAATGGCTACTTTAAAGCCACATTTCATTTTCTTAACTGTAGACCCTGTGACATTTAGCTAAGGGCCAGAGATACCCAAGCTCTGCTAGACCATACCCTCAACCTGAGGTAGGGAAAAGAAACTAACACCATCCTCGGGCATGGGCTTTGCTCCCCTGGGAAAATGGGAAGTTGCCTGAGAGGCAGGTAAGTGGTGCTGCTCAGAGAGAGATGAGGGGTGGCTCGAAGGTCTTCTGGCGGCCCCTCTCCACTCTGGCCTTTCCTGGACAGTGTACGACCTCCTCAGCGGCCACATCGTGAAGAAGCTGACCAACCACAAGGCCTGTGTGCGTGACGTCAGCTGGCACCCCTTCGAGGAGAAGATTGTCAGCAGTTCGGTGAGGATGCTGTGGTTAGGGGGGCCAGTGTGTGTCTGGGACTTGGACCCAGGAGGGAGCAGTGCCTCCTGACTACTTGCCACCTTCTGCCCCGCAGTGGGACGGGAACCTGCGTCTGTGGCAGTACCGCCAGGCTGAGTACTTCCAGGATGACATGCCAGAGTCTGAGGAACACCCGAGCACCCCTGCCCCAATGTCCCACCCCTCTACAGCCTTTTCCTCACCCCAGTAGATCTGACTTCCAGCCCCATTCATGGGTGAGCCTTTTGACGTCTCTCCGCCTCCTCCCTTTCTCCCTTCTGGGGGATCTTTGGGGAATCAGTGGCATTGGGTGGGGAGAAACAGAAGCCCAGGCTTCGGCCCTCTAGCTAAGCCCCAGGAGGGAGATCCTCCCCTTGGGGCAGAGTGGTCTTCTCACATGCTCACACCCATCAACTTGGGTCTCCGTCTCTGGTCAGGGTCTGGCAGGACTGCCATTATCTGGTCAGTAGGAGTAACGTCCTGAGTGTTTTTAATCTTGTTTGGATGTTAAGTCTTAGCTCCTAGAGTAGATGCCTGGGGCCAGGTCTGAACTGAACCAGGCCCATTGCCCAGGCCTTCGCGCGTTGAGGACTAAACTGGTCAATCAGGGCCAGGCGTCCTTGCCTTTCTTCCAGAGGTCCTAATGGCTAGAGCTCTAGCCCCTCAGGAGAGGGGGGAATGGGGAAGGTGTGTCCTCAGCACCCTCCCTGGCTGGGAATTACGTCTTCTCTCTCACGTGTCTGGGTCTTTGGGGTAGGCAGGCTGTGGTGTGAGAGGCTCCGTGTGACCCCACACAGGGCGGGCCCTCCCCTCCCCGAGTGTTCCCTCGTGCAGGAGGCCAGCAGCTTCGAGGAGGGATGTTGAAGTAGGACTCCTTCGTCCTCTCACTGGCTTTGGCTCCCTCAATAAACTCTCTGTGGGAACCTAGCTTAGTGTCCGTCTGTCTCTCTCTTTTTCCTGTCTGAGATCTTTTATCCTCTCACTTCAAGAAAACAGTTTCAACAGAGCCTTCAGATATGCTCCTCTGTGGGAGAAAACACTGCTTTGATGCCCCAAGATGAACGGAAATACCAAAATCATTAGTTAACTGAGCTTTGCAACAGGGAGTCCCTCACCAACCTCAGAAACTTCCCAGCAAGCAGAAATAGAGATAACAGGAAATAAACACATTTTAGATGAGAACCTGGAACACCCACATCAGCTCTGCCCTGGAGCTGGTCCAGTCTATGGAAGGAAGTAGCCCAGAGCCAGAGAGCACGTGGTGGGCACTGATGCCAGGTCCCATCTGGGCACTTCACACTTAGAACCTTATCCACCTCACAGCCACCCTTTTTTACAGGTGAGGAAATGGAGGTGTGCAGAGGTCAGGCACCATGCCCCAGGGCAGAGCCATGGTATGGTCAGTAGGGGAGCAGCTCTGATTGATCTTCCCCATTATCTCTAAGGAACCTGGATGCACACCTCCAGGGGGTCTTAAAGACACAGCAAGGGGTTAAAAGATGTACCTATTCAGCAGCAAAGCAGGTAGTTGTAAAAGAATAAAGGGACTTCCCTGGCGGTCCAGTGGTTAGGACTCTGAGCTTCCACTGCAGGAGGCACAGGTTCAATCCCTGGTAGGGGAACTAAGATCCCACATGCCTCACGGTGTGGCCTAAATAAATACATAAATAAATAAATTTTTTAAAATAAAAGAAATTGTCCAGATGCTTGGCCTCCATATGCTCTCTTTCCTCCATTGATCCACTTGCATGAAACTGTCATGCAGATCTCCTTTCCCACCAGCCCTTTTTGTTCCCCCTCTGCCTCTTCACCCAGAGATGCCAACCTATCTCACCCAGAACTGTTTTACCTCCAGGATGCCAAAGGTAGAGGCCAATTAAAATTATTAGTGTCCTCAAAGCCTCATTTAGTCAAGGCCCCAAGGGCCATCTATTCTCATTAAGAAATGCATTTCTGGGCTTCCCTGGTGGCACAGTGGTTAAGAATCCACCTGCCAACGCAGGGGACACGGCTTTGAGCCCTGGTCCAGGAAGATCCCACATGCCGTGGAGCAACTAAGCCCATGTGCTGCAAGTACTGAGCCTGCACTCTAGAGCCCGCGAGCCACAACTGCTGAGCCCGCATGCCACAACTACTGAAGCCCGTGCACCTGGAGCCCGTGCTCCGCAACAAGAAAAGCCACCGCAATGAGAAGCCCATGCACCGTAACGAAGAGTAGCCCCCGCTCACCACTACTAGAGAAGAGCCCGCGCGCAGCAACAAAGACCCAATGCAGCCAAAAATAAATAAATAAAATTTTTAAAAAAGGAACCCTTATAAGTTCCATTTGAAAAGAAATGCATTTCCAATACAATTTTAGTTTATTATTAATTATCAAACTGTGTGGAATGTTTGTTGTACAAATAATACATTTTGTACTACTAACAATTTTGAAATTTGTACTAGTAAAAAATAGGAAATTCAATACAGAAAAAAAGTTTAACCTTGTGATCACAGGAAATGTGTAAAAATTGTTTCAAATTATCTGCTTTTGGCAGAGAAGTGTGATCAATGAAAGACTTTCAGGCATAAAAACATTAGGATAATTTCTGTGGGGAAAGAATGGAAGTGTTATTCCTGACTCTTAAGATCTTGTCACATGTTTTTAAATGAAAAACCGTGAGGTATATAATCACTGTAGTGTTTAGATTCCATTGGATATATTTAAAAGAGTGATAAAGATAGCTTTATTTTTGAAATGTCAACATATACGATACACTGGAAATTATGTCCTTTGCAACTATTTAAAATTACAATGTAAAATTTTGTGTCAGCTTAAAAACGTGTGAGTGCTCCTGTAGGTCTTCAGGTACAGGATCCCTGAGCGCAGACTATGCCGAGGTGTGGGCTGTAGGACCTGCAAGGACCCTGATGGGTTAATCCATCTCGGCCAGCTTGCTGATGATGGCGCTGAGGACCAAGGATGGTTAGTTGATTCTCTCAGAGTCACAGAGTTGGGCCAGAGCCCAGGTGCCCTTTCTTGCTCATTCCTTTCACTACTTCACGGGCCTCCACTGTGCTCTGAGATCCCACCACCAGTTTTGAGGAATGAGGAAGGAAGACAAAAAGGGATCTCAAAACAGTTACTGAATATCAGGGACTTCCCTTGGGTAGGTTGCTCACCGCCCTACGGGTCCAGCCTCAGTGGTAAGGCTGGGAGGCCAAGTCCCAGGGTAATTGGTTGGGGGACACAACCTTAGGATTTGATGGACTCCAGGCTGGGGATCTTCCTTCTAGGGTCTCCACCACCCACTATCACCTGGGAGTGAACCTGATCTTCGGGGCTCTGAGAGTCCGACCTGGGCGGGGTGGGGGTGACTTTGGCTGACCAAACAGAGACAGGCAGACCCAAACAGGCTGTGGCCAAAAACATCCCATGTTTCGGTCGTGGCCCTGAAACATGAACTAGGACATGGTTCCAGCCTAGAGGGTCAAGGAGGCACAGGACTAACAGGGAAGGACACAGGCTGCTGTCAGGACACACACCCAAGGCGAGAACACTGCTGACGTGGCAGCCCTCCGCCCCAGCCTCTTACTGCCCCCCGCCCCTCTCCCCCGCCTGCCAGCTGCCAACAGGGCTCTGCCCTGTGTCTGCCACACCTGTCACTGTCTGTCCTTGTCCAGGGGGAGCCCCATCAGCCCCTCCTCAGCTGCCCAGCAGAGCAAGCTGTTAGTGGGGAGGGGAGGGAACATGGAGCGGGGGCCGGCGGTGGGGGCAGGGGGGGGGGCCAGGGCCCAGATCTGGGCACTGCTGGGCTGCTTGGTCAGGGTGCTGCTCTGGGTGGCCTCTGCTTTGCTATACTTTGGAAGCGAACAGGCTGCCCGCCTCCTGGGCAGCCCCTGCTTACGGCGCCTCTACCACGCCTGGTTGGCAGCAGTGGTCATCTTCGGGCCCCTTCTGCAGTTCCATGTCAACCCTCGGACCATCTTTGCCAGCCATGGCAACTTCTTCAACATGTGAGTCCACTCGAGGCCGTGGGCGCTGGCTCCCTGGGCTCTGGGATCCCAGCTCCCTCCTCCAGGTTTCTGTGCTCTTGCCAGTCCAGGACACTAAAAATAGGCTAGGAGGTTGAGGAGAAGGTCAGAGGGGGAGGGGAACAGAGTCATGGGGGTACAGGAGCAGCGCCGAAGAGGAAACATGGGCCCTAGAAGGCTGAATGGGCCGCTAAGGAGATGGCCCAGTTCAAGTGCATGGGGGGAGAAGGGGGAGAGGGCCCAGGAAACAGAGAACCGGGAACGACAGATGCGACTGGAGGCAGGGACGTGATGGGAACGTAGAGCAGGGTGGGGAGATGGGGCTGAGGGGGTCTCAGCAGCCCTCCCTCTTCTCTGCCACAGAAAGTTTGTGAATTCAGCATGGGGCTGGACGTGCACCTTCCTGGGGGGCTTCGTGTTGCTGGTGGTGTTCCTGGCTACACGGCGCGTGGCAGTGACTGCCCGGCACCTGAGCCGCTTGGTGGTTGGGGCAGCTGTGTGGCGGGGTGCCGGCCGGGCCTTCCTGCTCATCGAGGACCTGACGGGCTCCTGCTTCGAGCCTCTGCCCCAGGGCCTGCTGCTCCGCGAGCTGCCGGACCGCCGCAGCTGCCTGGCGGCCGGCCACCAGTGGCGGGGCTACACCGTCTCCTCCCACACCTTCCTGCTCACCTTCTGCTGCCTGCTCATGGCCGAGGAAGCAGCAGTGTTCGCCAAGTACCTGGCCCACGGGCTGCCCGCCGGCGCACCCCTGCGGCTTGTCTTCCTGCTCAACGTGCTGCTGCTGGGCCTCTGGAACTTCTTGCTGCTCTGCACCGTCATCTATTTCCACCAATATACTCACAAGGTGGTGGGCGCCGCGGTGGGGACCTTTGCCTGGTACCTCACCTACGGCAGCTGGTATCATCAGCCCTGGTCTCCGGGGATCCCGGGCCATGGGCTCTTCCCTCACCCCCACTCCAGCCACAAGCATAACTGAAAGAAATAAAGGCACTTTAGGCCTGGCTCTGGCTCCGCTCATCATTGGGCTGGCGGGACCTGCAAAGGGTGGGAAGGGTAAGAAGAGAGTGTGATGGTCACCAGGTTTCCTCAGCAAGACCTTGCTGTCGCTGACCTTGAATGCCCCTGTGCTTGATCGCTATCCCTCCTGTTCTTTCAGTCTCCTAGTCCCTGCAGACATCAAGCTCTTTGGGGCTCTGATGTCAAGGACTGGCACTGCCAGGTCGGGTAGCAGTGCCCTTAGGTATGGGTGGCATTCCCACTGAGCAGATGCTCCATCTCCAGCCTGGTTGATTTGTTTTCCCTGCCTCCAGCACTGAATCCCCCTCTGCCATCCTCAGGAGCCTGCCTATCCGGGCACCCTACTCACAGTCGCTTCCTACCCTGTCTTCCCATAGGGGGTCTATATGTGCTCATTTACTTAAAAGATGTTCATTAAGCCAAGCATAGTTCCTTGCCATGTGAATAAGAAAGACAAGGTTTCTGCTGTTTGGGGGCCCATGGGTTACTGCCTGATGATAAACTCATAAATAATAATAGCAAACACTTGTGCTTACTGTGTGTTGGGCACCATTCTAAGTGTCTATAAATTCGCACGTATTTAGCCCTCACAACACTATGAGCTAGGGCTGGTAGCGTTCCAATTGGACACTTGTGAAAATGGAGGCACAGAGTTTAAGTAACTTTTTCACAGCTAGTAAATATCGGAGCCAGAATGATTAACCCAGGCATTATGGGTCTGTTGTCTGTCTTCTAAGTCGGGGATCAGCAAACAACAGCCCTCCTGTGGCCAGTGTTTGAATGGCCTGAGAGCTAAGAAATGGTTTTACAATTTTAATGGTTGAAAAAAAATCAAATAAGAATATTTCTTGACAGGTGAACATTACATGACATTCAAATGCCAGTGTCCATAAATAAAGTTTTATGGGAACTAGCCACGCTAATCCATTTAACTGTTTACGTGCTACAATGGCAGAGTTGAGTAGTTCCTACTGGCACTACAAAGTCTAAAATATTTACTATCTGGCCTTTTATGGAAAAGGTTTGCCAGCCCCTGGTCTGAACCACACTATCCCCCAAAAATAAACTGGCTAATATCAGAAAGATAGTGCTATGAAGGTACTAAAACAGGCTGCTTTCTAATAGACTTGGAGGGAGTTCCTTTATAAGGAAGATAGAGTTCTCTCTGAAGAAGTGACATTTAAGCTGAGAACGGAATGACATCCTGAGGCAGGGGAAGGGGAATGTCAGGCAAAGGGATTAGCAAGGACAAAGGCCCTGAGGCAGGAATGAACTTGTTGCAAACAGGTTTGAGAAACAGCTGGAAAGTCCAGGTATTTATAACTGAAATGAAAGAGGGAGAAAGCGGTGGAAAGTGAAGTTGAAGGGGAACAGGTGCCAGACAGGCCTTTTGGGCCAGGAAAGTCCTTTGGATTTCATCCTAAGGTCAACAGGAAGCTGAGAAAGTTTTAAGCAAGAGCAAGGTGGAATCCTGCTGCTGTGCGGAGAGTGGGTTACAGAGGAATGGAGCCCACAAGGGTCATAAGAGAGCTGACCCTCTCTTATGACCCTGTGATGGGGCGATGCCAGAGTCTGAATGTCACTGAGCCAGATGATGCCCGCGGAGCCAGGGGTCCACGCTGGCAGGGCAAAGGAAGGGAGGCCAGGTCTTGCTCCAGCACCGAGAAAAGAAAGAAGAGAGCCAGATAAGGCTAATCACTGTCCCAGGACGAGCAGGGAAAGAAGAGAGCCAGAGGGCTGTCAGGAGGCAGGGAGATGGGAGGCGGGGAGTTCAGAGGTGGGCACTGGCCTTGGGGCCGGGGAGGCGGGGGCGTAGAAGGCAGGGCGGGGAGGGAGGAGGTGGGTTGGGCGGAGTTGGTAGGCGGGGAGTCGAAAGACTGGCAGCGGTGGGGAGGCGGGGAAGCGGGGAGGCGGGGCGCTGGAAACGTGCCTCTCGGGCTCTAGGGGGAGCCGCGGCTGGGCCGCCTCCCCGAGCCCCTCAGCTCCTAGCCTTTCTCTGGTCTGTCCCCGCCTCCTCCAGTGCCTCCACTCCCACTACCCAGGAGGGCAGTGCGGGGAGCGAGTGCTGCTTTCGCTTTCCCTTCCCCGTGCCCACTCCTCGCTCCGCGTGCGGCCCTAGGCCGCCGCCCCGGCCATGGCCACGCTCAGGGTCCTGCCCGAAGCCCAAGCCAAGGTGAGCGCTGCGGGTTCGAGGAAGGGCCCGTCAGGGAGGCGTGGCCCCGAGAGGCTGAGGGCGTCCGTGACCCGCTCCCACCCAGCCCCCCGACTCGAGTCGGGGTCAGTCATCCGAACCCTCGTGAGCCTCCGTGCCCGGAGCACCTGAGCCCGGGGAGCCCGGCCGGGTCTGCCTGCCGGGAGAGAGAGAGGCGAGGCGGCCGAGGTTCAGCGGGGTGAGGTGAAGCGGAGAGCTGGCGTGGAGAGGAAGTACGCTGGCCCCGGGCCCAGGCCCACACACAGACTGGGAGCGGACCCTGCCCTGCCACCACAGGAGGCCCCGGAGCCCACTCCACAGGGCACTCCGCCCCTTCCCCAGTCGCAGCGGCTCTCTTACATCCCTCCTCCCACAGCCCAGGAGACGCTAGGGATGTTTCCGCTTGAACCCTTCGCCCTTCAGCTCCAGGAATGTTCTCATTTCCCAAATCCCGCCTCACCTGGGTCCACTCCACCCTTCCCCAAGTCAGACCCTACACAACCCTAAGGGTCCTTGAGTCCTTGAATAGACTGGCCATAAAGCCAGTTGTCTGAAGGGCTGCCTGTGTCCCACAGGTGGATGTGTTCCGTGAAGACCTATGTACTAAGGTAAGACCTGACCCGTCATCACCCCACCCCTCCCTACCCAATCCCACTGCTCAGCCCTTCCTTGCTGGGCAGTGGCAGCCCTGCTTCACTGCCTAGGAGGGGCATTTGATTCTGACCGCCATCCTCCCCTACCCTTACCATACACACAGACAGAGAACCTGCTCGGGAGCTATTTCCCCAAGAAGATTTCTGAGTTGGATGCATTTTTAAAGGTACTGGGGCTGGGCAGGGAGTAAGAGAGTAGGGGCCAAAGGGAGAGCCTGCTGGGCCATGAGAGTGAGGAGGTGAGAGCCCGCCCCTGCCTCCAGCCCTTCTACCCCCCTGCACCAGGAGCCAGCTCTCAATGAAGCCAACCTGAGCAATCTGAAGGCCCCGCTGGACATCCCAGTGCCTGATCCAGTCAAGGAGAAAGAGAAGGAGGAGCGGAAGAAACAACAGGAGGCAAGTTGGCAGGAGCTGGGAGGAGGGACCCAATACAGGGAAAATCAGCCTTAGGCCTGCCTAAGAGACCCCTTCTCCCTACAGAAGGAAGACAAGGATGAAAAGAAGAAAGGAGAAGATGAAGACAAAGGTATCACTATGGTGAAAGGGACTTGTGTCTCACCTCCCAGGAGCTCCTCCCTAAGGATGCCTCTTCCCTGCCCGGCACAGTCCCAGTCATGTGACTGACCCAGTGCCCACCTCCTAGGTCCTCCTTGTGGCCCAGTGAACTGCAATGAGAAGATCGTGGTCCTTCTGCAGCGCCTGAAGCCTGAGATCAAGGATGTCATTGAGAAGCTCAACCTGGTGAGCCCTCCCACTTCCACCCCCACCCTTTGTCCTCCTTCGTCCCTGCCAGCTGGGCATGGCACCTGCCAGGTCTTAGCAGGAGAGGGCACAGCAAGTGAAGCCAGAATTCCAGGTTTTGGGGTTCAGGACAGACGTGGCATACTTCCACCCACCGTGAGCAGGGAAACAAAGGAGGACAGGAACCTGGGAATTGGGTTGGGGGCTGATGGGGTTTCAATGCCGTTCCCTCCTCCCAGGTCACCACCTGGTTGCAACTGCAGATACCTCGGATTGAGGATGGGAACAATTTTGGAGTGGCTGTCCAGGTGAGGACACTGCCCCACTCCTCTGCCCTCCTTATTTCTCCCGTCCATGCTGCTTTTACACTTTCCTCCTCGCTTTCTTTCCCCAGGAGAAGGTGTTTGAGCTGATGACCACCCTTCACACCAAGCTGGAAGGCTTCCACACTCAAATCTCCAAGTTAGTGATTGCCCACTGCTCTGCCTTTGGCTGGGACTGAGGCTTGTGCTCCCTCCTCCCCCTACTCCACACCCTTCTACTTCCCACAGGTATTTCTCTGAGCGAGGTGATGCTGTGACCAAAGCGGCTAAGCAGCCCCACGTGGTAGGTGAGGCCCAGGTCAGGGTGCGTGGGAGGAGGGACACCTTTGAAGTCAGGCCTGACCCGAGTCTCCCACAGGGTGATTATCGGCAGCTGGTGCACGAACTGGATGAGGCAGAGTACTGGGATATCCGGCTGATGGTCATGGAGATCCGCAACGCTTATGTGAGGAGGCGAGGGCAGGGGTGGGCAGAGGCAGCTTTCCCAGGCCACCCACTCCCTGACCCTGCGGGCTGGGGGTGAAGGGTATCAAAGCTCAACCTCTCCACAAGGCAAGAAATGGGGCACAGAGCCACTGGACACCTGCGGCTGACCCCCACTCCTCCCTGGCCCCATAGGCTGTGTTATATGACATCATCCTGAAGAACTTCGAGAAGCTCAAGAAGCCCAGGGGAGAAACAAAGGGAATGATCTATTGAGAGCCTCCTCTCATTCTGTGATTGGTCCAGCAGAGACCTTCCTGACTTTCACAGGAGACTCCAGACTTTCCCCACCTTCTGTCTGTTGAGGTTTCTCCCTCACCTTGCCTCCCAGGCACAATAAATCTAGTCATACCATCGCCCAACAGCCCAAGTCTCTTTATTGGATCCGGAGCCTCCCCTCTGGCCCTGGCTCAGGTATTTCCATTTGTGGGACCAACCCACTGGGTGATTTGGGCATTGAGCTGCTGGTTGGTCCAATCCTCCCGGATGTCGTCAAGGTGGCAGTCAAAGTCCACAAGGTGCTGGTGGGCCCGGCCTGCTAGTAGTGCTCCCACCATCTGCCGTGACTGTTCCCAGTCCCTCCACATCACTCTGAAATAACAACCCCCATGGAGGTCAAACTCAGCAGGCAGAGGGGCCAGACACTTGGCAGAAGTTAGTTTCTAGAGAAGGACGCTTAGGGCAGAACCAAAAACAGAGGAGGCTCAGGAGCTGTGGGCTTCCAAGAGGTGGAGGGAGTGGGGCACTCACAAGTTCTTGTCCTTGGGGACCCAGCAGAGACCACGGCTCTCCAGGACAATAACTGGGGGCACGTGAGGCTGTGGCACCAATTTCTGATTATCCAACTGTGTGGACAAGGAAGGGCAGGTGAGGGTTTCGAGGATTCCCCCTTCCTACTTTCTTTCCAACTCCCCACTCTGAAACCCAAGCCTCACCATAATAAGTACTGCATCAGGGAAGAATTCTGCAATCTGCCCAGCGATTTTCAAGGCCAAGGGCCCAGGGCTGTGTAGAAGGAAGATCAGAGTTGTGAAGAGCCTCCTGTGGGCAGACCCCGTCCATCTGAGCTGGGCCTCCCAGGGCCCATAGACGTGGAGGCAGTGACGGCCTTTCCCTGTAGTTGGCCTGGGGGCATCAGGCCTGCCTGACTGCTTCGTGCAAGACTTATGCTTGAGCGCTGTGGGAAACAGGTGCTCAGACACTGCTGGTGAGAGTGGAAATCTAAGATGGTTTTTTTGGAGAGTACTTTGGCATAACCGTCCAGATTTATATTGTATGTTAACCCAGAAACCCCACTAACGAAGAATTTACTGTAATAATAGGACAGTGTCTGTAATAAAAAAAAAATTGGAAACAACCTCAATGTTTAATGTAAGGCACTAAATAAATTATGGTACATCCATGTTCATACTGTATAGCTGATAGGGTAAGGTAGATATTAGTGTAGGGATGGAAAGATGTCAGATATTTATTAAGGAGAGAAAAGCAAATTACAAAACAGTATAATTTGCTCCAAATACGTGACTACTGTATAAGTAGATAACTTTTTCTGTATACAGTTGACCCTTGACCAATGAGGGGTCTAGGGGCCACAGAGCCTCCCGCAGTTGAAAATCTGCAGGTAACTTTACAGTGCGCCCTCCCTATTCTGGATTCTGCATCGGGATTCAACCAACCTCGGATTCTGTAGTACCGGAGTACCTATTCAGTGAAAAAAGTTCGCCTATTTGTGGCCCCAGGTAGTTGAAACCGGTGTTGTTAAACGGTGAACTGTATATATAAAAAGAAACTTCCTTTTTTTAGAAGCTGCTGGTTGGGCTTCCTTTGTGTTTTCAGCACTTGGGGGGCATCTCAGTTACAGCAGGTGTCAGCCTGTTATTGTCCTTCCCACCCCACCACAGCTCCTCCAGGAAAATAACATTTCTTTATATTTTCTCACCGCCTACCCAGCCTACTAGGTACCTTAGCTCTACAGTGGCTAAGCCTTGGATGAAGGAAAGATGGAAGGAATGACCAAGAGGGGCTCTCTTGACATCCCCCACCCCATAATCCTTAGCCCTCTGCCTCTGGCTTCCCCACTCACCTCTGGTCGTCCAAAGCTGCATTGGCATGGTAGTACCCTGCCACTACCAGCCCGGCCTGCGCGCCCCACACATCCACCTGCCATGGGAAAGCGCCATCAGTAACTAAATCGTGCCGCCCGCCCTATGGGTGCGCACTACTGCCAAGAGGCCAGGGTTGGCCTTGGGCTAGGGGTGTTGGGGGGTTTCGCGGTGGTCGGTGGGCGTCCAGCGGCGGCACCTGGTTGAGGGCGACCTCCAGCATGACAGACAGGGCCAGGTGGCTGTGGAACAGGGGCACACAGTCGGTGAGGCACAGGCATTCTCTCGACCGCGGCGCTGGCGCCAGCAATAGCCCGTTGACAGCGGCGTGCGGGTAACGGGCGGCGTGCAGGCACATCTTCACGTAGGCCCGGGCCGAGATCTCCACCTCCCCCATGGCGAGCGGGGCCCCAGCTCGCGTCCGCGAAGCCCCCTCCAGCGCCCCCAAGCCCTCCTGGGCCCTTCCCCGTGCCCCCTCACTTAGGTTCGACGGTGACGCTGACTTGACTCGAAGGCAGCCCGCCGACTCCGGCAGACCTCAGCCCGGCGCCCAGCCCCCGGCCCCCACCCGGCCCGGAATGCAGGCGGCCGGGATTGCACGTTGCAGCACAGAGCTCCGCCTCCCCCGCCCCCAAGCGGCGGCAGCAGAGCTGCGCCTGCCTCGGGGACACATAACCAGGGCTCCAAGTCGGACAGCCTTCTGGAGTCCCGCCCACGTGGTGCTCTTTGATAGGCTTAGAGAGTCTCGTTTTGCCAAATCAGCATCCAACATTGTCCCGCCTTTGACTGTAGAGAGCTACCCGCACGCTGATTGGCTAGGCTACCCCACTTCGGCTCTTGATTGCAAGATGGCTGCGTCTGTTACCTCTGCCTCCCGCCCCTACAGGCCCCGCTGAGCCACCGGGGTGGTGCCCGCGCCCCTCATCTGGTGTCTCCCCGAAACGCGGAGCTTCGAATATCGGTACGTAGCGGACAGCTTGGCTCCAACTATGGAATGAGTGGATCGGTACTCTAGAGCGGCTTTGTCACTTACTAATAAGCCGTGTCACTTTCGCAACTGCAGGTTTTCTGGCCCTTGCTTTCCTCAATGTAATGACTGCAGAAATAAAGACGGCATTGGCTGAAGGAGGAGGGTAAAGGTCAAAAAGAATTTTATTGAACCATCCTTCCCATAATGTCCTGTAGTATAATTTCCTTCGCCTTAATGCCTTGGAAGCGTTTTTGACCCTCCCAGCCCTTGAGAAGGAGTCCAACCATTTACCCATAATTTTCCCAGTGAAATCTCATTCTCCCTCCAGGTGTGCTCTGAGCTGAAGAAAGGGTTGTGCCTTTCTTCATTCCCTGACCTCAGCCTCAGAGCTTTCCCCCAGTCTGTCCAAAGCCTGATTATTCCTATAAGGGCTCTGCCCAGATGCCATCTTTTCCAGGAAGCACTCATGACACCTCCAGATGGAAATAATCTTGTGAAATTCCCCAATACAGGTTATTTTCATGGCTGTCATGGCATGTAACAGTTCCCACCCTGTTCTTTAGGATGACTTCCTAAGAACAGGATGGACCTTTAATTCATCTTCGTCTTCCTGGCACCCCTCCCTTTCTCATCACCACATTCATTCACATTTAGTGTCTGGATATAGGTGACACTCAGTAAACGTCTTTGAATGAATGACACACACCAGAGGTTATCCACACAAAGTATAGGTCATTTATTTCCCTTCTAACCCTGGGCTCAGTACATAGATGGCTTCTCTTCACCCTTTGGGTTGATAATTTTCTCCAGGTTGCTGCTTATAATATGGTAAAGCTCAGCCTGGAAGAAGGCCAGAGGGCAACAGTCAGGTTCTTGGCCTTTTCCCTGCACCCCTCATCCACCTCCCTTAGGGGCTTACTCCACACTCACATAGAAGGCCCTGAGGTCCAGCACCATGGCCCTGAGCTCTCCATAGGCTGCCTCGTCTCGCTCGTGCACCAGGGCCCGGTAATCCATCTGGGATGTGGAAGGCAAAGCTGAGTCAGCCCCATGGAAGGCTGGGACATTAGTCTGGTTTCCTCATACAGGGAATAGGTAACTTGAGGAATGAGCCCCTTCTCAGCCAAGAAATGGGATCCCAGAGGATCAAACAGAGAAAGGGGTCAAGGTTTTTGAAGCCTAAATCAGTTTTCCTGGGCTTAATATTCTCCACATTGGGAAGGTCACGAATGAGACATAGAGGACCTCTATCCCCCACTTTCTCATCACCCCCCATCCCCAGCAGCCTCAGCTAAAAGGCTGGTGGACTGTCCACTTACTACGTGGGTCTCCTTAGAAGCCTTGGCCACAGCATCCCCACGTTCTGAGAAGTACCTGCCAGAAGCAAGAGGAGTAACCACAGGAATGGATGTTCAGAGAGAGGTACTCCCTCAGACCCTTCCCAAAGCACCGCTTCATCCGATAGGCATGCCCAGCTTTGGGAGTCCCAAAGAAATGTCCCTGCAGACCCCGGTGCTGGCCTTCCAGCTGTCCTTACTTGGAAATGGTTGTCTGGAAGGCTTCCACTTTGGTCTTGACTGCATTTACCCTCTCCAGCACCTTTTCCTGTGGAGACAAAAGAGTGGAAAGCAAAGACAACCCTTCATCTCCTCCCTCCTTCACTCACCGTCTCCCTCCTCCTCCCAGTTCTTGTCTAGCTCCTATCCCTTACTCCCCAAGTCTCTCCCTGCTGTCAGCATCCTCACACACCCTTTCTCACCTGGATTGCCACCCCAAAGTCATTTCCATCCTCAATTTTGGGGATGAGGTGCTGGATCCATGTGATCACCTACATTAAGAGATATCATGTAGGAATCATTCAACAAACCCTCTATTCTGATTACTGCTACTTCCTAATAATAGGTACATTTAACTGAGTACTTATTATATGGCAGGCACTGTGCTATGTATTATATATCTCATTTAATCTTCACCACAACCTTTCAAGGTATATATTCTTTTTTTTTTTTTTTGCTTGTTTCAAAGTATATATTCTTATTGTACCCACTTAACAGATGAAAAAACTGAGTCACAGGATGTCTAAGTTACTTACTTAAAGTAACCAGTTAGGTAAGTGATAGAGTCAGGATTTGAACCAAGGCAGTCTCCCTCTAGGGCCCGAGTTCTTAAACCAACTCACTGTATCATAGCATCTGTACTCTGTACCTGGTACAGCAGTAGGTTCTCAGGTTATAGAGGTGGATGTAGCACAGTCTAATTTGGGGATATCATTGTGATAGAGAACAAAAGGTATCTAAACCCAAGGCACAGAAGGAAGCTTCCTATTTGGGGAATAGTTTCCTAAATGAAGGAATTGAATCTCTGAAGGAGACCAGGGCCTGGCCTTGCTCGTTTTCTCTGTCCCCCAGTTCCCAGGCTTACCAGAATGCATTTTTCTTTGAGAGTCCAGACTTCTGGCTTAACCAGGGCAAGCAAGGCCAGGACCTTCTCATTCCCAGGGAGAAAGCCGCACTTAGGGACTGTGAGAAAGAGGGGACTTAGACCCTTTCTCATCCAGTAGTCAGTGTGCCATTTCCCTTTTCCTAGCCACCCCTTCCTCTCTCACCTTCTTTCTTCTCTTGCTTATCCGTTTCCATCTAAGGAAAAAAGGGGGAAAGTGGCTTTAGAAAAGTCATGGAGGTTGGAGAGCCACTTACACTGGGTTTATAGCCCAAGCCCTACACCATGAGTGCCTCACCTCATCATCCTTGGGTGGAGGGTCTGGGATGGGGATGTCCAGCGAGGCCCGGAGAGAAGTCATGTCAGTCACGTTGAGGGAGTCCTCCTGCACAGAGCTCACTGTCAGGGGCTGCCCAGCCTCTTCCCCTCATCCTGAGTCAGAGCCTTTCCTCCACACATCCCACCCAACCTCTGCCTCCCAACCTAGGCTCAGGCCTCACACTATCCTAATGTTCCCAGTCCACCATTTGCGACTGTTCTGTGCATTCGGAGCCCAGTTGTTAGCTAGAGAGGGTGGATGGAGAGGAGAGAGGCCATGGGATGGGGCAGGAGGGGGCCACACTACTCACTTGCAAGAGCTGATTCAGGTATATGATTTTCTGAGGTAAGAATCTGTAGAGGAATTCCTCAGCCTGTGGGTTACATTGCAAGGGTCGGAATCACAGAAGACGTTCAGTGAGATGTCTGAGAAGTGGGACTGGAAGGGCCCTTGGAAATCATTGACTCCAGTACTTATAAATGAGGGAACTGAAGCCCTGAAAATTGAAGGGAATTCCCCAAGCTGGGATGCAGCAGAACCAAGGTTAGAACTGTGGTATTCCTGCTTTGGGGCCATGGCTTTTCCCTCCACACCAAAAGAGGGGACAGGAAGTGGTGGAAGTGCAGAAGGTATTAAGAGGGGTACAGGTAAAAGCAGAGATCAATAATTAAGAGCTTATCTTAGATGGAGGCTTAATAAGTTAAGTAAGGCGCGGATGGAGGGTGGGTTTGGGGATCAGTCTGAGAAGTTGCAACCCTCAAGTATTGGCCTAAGATTCTGGGTCAAATCGCTTGAATCCAGAAGACTTACCTCCTGGAAAAGATTTTGCCTGAAGACATCCACCTGCACAGAGAGCGGTACCCGGATGTTGGTTAAGGGTCTCCGTTGTCCAGAGTAAGATCCCACCCCCAACAGGATGCCCTCCAACTTGGCTCAGTCCTTCCCCACCACAAGCCAGACTTCCCTGGAAGCCCATGCTCAGTGCAGAGATTGTCCGGAGGGCAAGAATCTGGTAATCCCCGGGCAGAAGTGAAAGCACTTAGAGAGGTTGGGAGATTTCTCTGGCACGGCCTTGGTCCCTCGGAGCACCCAGTTTGGCCTCCATTTAGGAGGGCTCCTCGGCGCCTTCCTTGCCTCCCGGTCCCCCGTTACCTGTTTGCGGGCTTCCCCGCTCAGGCGCACCCCACAAGGCTTGGCCATGTTGCTCCAGTTGCTGCTAGGTCTCCGGTCTCCCTGCTCGCCGCCTGGGCTTTCGCTTTCACTCCCCACGTCCAGGCCCGCCCCCCTCAGCCCCACCCCCTTCCTTCTTTTCCCCCTCCCCCTGGAAGGCCGCAAACCGTAGGGAGCCCCTCTGCCATTCTCGGCCTGTGAGACTAGAAAAGGCGGTGCTGACTCGGTCACAAACCCAGGGGCTGTCCGGGGGAGGGGCTAGGACAAGTGGGACCGGCGGAGATTGAACAGGGGCTGTCCCTCGGAGAAGGGGAGGGGCTTAGAGAGAGGGGGAAAGAACCGTCCAAGGACAGTCAGGGTTGGGGTGAGAAGGGTGGGAGAGTGGGAAGGGGGGTGTTAAGTGGTGGGGCTCCCACAGGAAGGCTTGACTGCGGGGAAGGGCCAGAGAGGGATCAGAGTGGGCGGGAGAAGTAGTAGGAGGGAGAAGGGACAGAGGATAGGAAGGGAGAAGGCGCGGGGGCTTCCTCCCGGAGGGCGCCCTATCTTCAAGACTGACTGGAGAAGGGGCTTGAGTGGGGCTCAGGCCGGCCAGAGTTGAGTCCCCAGCTGAGTGGGATTTCCCCTGTGGGGTCCCGGATAGAGAGGAGGGCTTTGAGGGGAGTAAAGTAACCCCGTACCAGGGTCTATCCGGAGAGGGGTGGGACCAGCCTGGACCAAGGAGGGGAAGAACGCCA